ACGATCTCCAGATCACTAGCCTGGCATCATACCTCTAGACCACCGAGCTTGCGCCTGATGGCCAGGGTTGAATTCGAGTCCAAGTAAGCAGCGGGTACTGCAGTGTTGATAGTAATTGTTATTGTCGTGATAGAATAATATACAATAACTGGATTTGCGTCAGGAGAAACATGTATAGGTGTAATTTTTTCCTACCTGACGTGGAAATGTACCGAATACTCCGTACATTTGAAAACAACTGCGAAAAAATCGCAAGTTGTTCTCGGGTGTGACTCGAACCCACGATCTCCAGATCACTAGCCTGGCGTCATAACTCTAAACCACCGAGCTTGCACCTGAGGGCCAGGGTTGAATTCTTATTATATCTCTATGGCTCATGCTCAGTATGTCTGTTTGAACTGTTTCTCAGGCAAATAGGAGTATACACAGCCAAATTATGTTTTTATCTCATTTATAGTGTTTTGATTGTAATATCAGAATTGTGTCTTACACACTTGCACAGTAAATTTGTTTTGTGGGGAATAATTAATTCTGACAACTTTAAAATTGTTTTGAAAATTCATTATATTTTCCTGAAGTTAGAAGTTACATGGTACTCCAACAGCTGAATCCTGGTCGATGGCATGTGTAACCATTCATCTTATATGCTTACATTTTTCAGAGTACAATAATTATATGAGTATTGAATAAGGAAAACCACTAAAAAGAGAAATGAAATGAGAAGTGTAACCTAATCTATATTCATATTTTATTATATAATTATTTCAGTAACATCCATAGATTATAAAACCATTGATTTAAAAACAATGAAGCAGTATGCATATTCAGCTAAAATATAATGTTACATTTATCATACAGTAAATCAGAATATTTATAACTATTGTTCTTTAGTTGATTGAACTAAAAAAAAAAGTAGAAAAATTGAAAAATTTGATCCGGGGCAAAAATCGGTCCGGCGAACTGATTTTTGCCTCATAATTACTTGCCAAATGCAAAAATATTAAATGGGGAAACAAAAGAAAATTAATTACTTAGCACCAACCATGATGGGAATTGGAACAGAGGAGGATGAGAGGATGCCAAAATGATGCAAAATTACTCGATTTTATGTGCAGTTTTAATAGGGTTTTAATTTTGTGGGCTGCAGTCTTGTTGCACTTAGCCCACCTGTAGATTCGCACATCTGTATAAGTCTCTCCTAATCCCTCCCTACAATAATAAATACTGGATCCGCCACCGAATATATATGTACTATATACTGTACTGGAAAATAAGATTTATATTGATGTACATTCTTCACTGCCTTTTGGACATTTTCCAATGTGTGAGAGCGTTTTCGAAATGCTACTGGATATATTGATTGTAGGCAAAACCACATAGCGCTCAGTCAGAGACCATGGAAACTGTGATAATTGTCAAAAGATTGTTTTATGTACATTACTACAAGGTTATTTTCGTACTGAAAAGAAAGAAATCAACAGATGATCATGTTGTCACTAAATGCCTGACCGACCATCATTGACATCAGGCTTTCATGGATGCTTTTGTGATTGTGAACAACCAGAAGCCAAACAAAGAAGAAAGCTTACCGTATATTGGCGCTTTTTTTTTTAAAGACAGTGTCATTACATTTTACGATGCTGATTGGCTACGTCTACCGTGCGAATAATTTATTATTTACTATTTGTACGATAGACAATGTTTGTATGTAGGTTCTATCTGAAAAGGTATTTCGGTTCAATTAGGTATTCTCGTAACAAATTAAGTAAGTATCTCATAAAATATTTAGGTCATTGAACCTTTTGAAACGATACCGTGTTAAATATAGTTAATTTCACGATGTACCGTGCGAATTGGGAATAAGAACTTATTCGCACGGTATGACAGCCGTTACGTCATGAAACCTTAAATGCTGATTGGCTAGGTCTAACGTGCGAATAAGACATCATCATAAGAGCTTATTCGCACAGTCTACCGTGCGAATAACCACTTCGTATAAAATTCTGTAGTCCGTAGCGTAGCGTTATCATTGATCGTTTAGGGTACAATTCACCATTTGCTCTCCTTACCTCAGCAAAGATTGACCGGAGAAACGCGTTGAGCTCCGTTGCTGTGAAATTTTCAATGCAAGTAGGCCTAATTGATTATTACGATGGCCCACAAGGGACACACTGCAAAGAAAAAGAAATGCTGCAAACAAAAAAGAAATCATGGAAACAGAAAAGAAACGCTGCAAACAAAAAAAGAAATGATGCAAACAAAAAAGAAATGATGCAAACAAAAATAGAAACGATGCAAACAAAAATGGAAACGATGCAAATAAAAATAGAAAACACCAGCAAACAAAAAAATGAAACGCTGAAAACAAAAAAGAAATGCTGCAAACAAAAAAGAAACGCTGCAAACAAAAAATAAAAACACTAGCAAACAAATAAAGAAACGCTGCAAGCAAAAAATAAAAACACAAGCAAACAAAAGAAAACGCTGCAAGCAAAAAAGGAAATGCTGCAAACAAAAAAATGAAACGCTGCAAACAAAAAAAGGAAACCCTGCAAACAAATGGAAAAGCCTTTGCGCGCGCGCATTTCATATTAATTGACAACAGACTGAGGTCAGGTCAGATGCGCTGCAGGGCTACATCATAGTGTCAAGCCATGTTTTGCTCTAACTGTGGAACAAAAAGGGTGTCTATAAAACGACGACCGAAGACCCAAAAACAGACCCCTATTTTTTTCTCGTTCATTTTGATGATAATACGCCATGCTGTCACAAAATCAAATTTACGACATTTTTTGGGCGTCTGTTTGTGAAATTTTCAAGGGTCTTCGTTTTATAGACACCCTATAGAGGTGTCTACAAAACGAAGACCCGAAAAACGAAGACCTCCAATTATTTCTCAATTATCTTATCGAAAGTATTTCAAAATCATCATAAAACAGTTGCCAAGTACATGTTTCATTATTTTATCACGATTGAGAGAAAAAAAATGTGGGTCTTCGTTTTTCGGGCCTTCGGTCTTCGTTTTGTAGACACCCATATAGGGTGTCTACAAAACGAAGACCCTTAATTATCTCGTCCATCCTATGTTGGTGTCACTACCAAATGACCGATGCTGCACATATGCGTCACTATACCACATTCCTACTGTTTATTTTAACATGGAACAATTATTGAATGAAATATTCAAGGTTTCTGTAGGTCCCCAAAATACGCGTACCGCTAGGCCAAGCCTTCGTTAGAGGGTAGCAGCGCCAAGACGCGCTTAGCCACCTAGCCGTGGACGTACAATTGACTCAGATTCAGGCAACAATGTGCTAAGAAGACGAATACTATATATACATAGCATGAAGTGATTTAAAAACATTATTTTATCACGATTGAAAGAAAAAAAAAAGTGGGTCTTCGTTTT